AAAAAAAAAAAAAAAAAAAAAAAAGAAGAAACATTCTAAAAATTGATGTCTAGCTAAAAACTCAACCCCTACTACCTATAAGTATTGTTTCATCGTTATCATAGACATATATCGCAATGTTATAATAAAATGTGTATGATCTACTACAAAATCAATAAAGTCGCTCGTGAGCTGTACTCGTTAATGTTAGAGCTCAAAATAAGTCGAGCACGAACTCGTTTAATTGTCTATCACTCCATCTGTCAACATTCCTTGGTCGGGGCTTTAGAATATAAAATCTTTATTAACTTGAACTTCTTCTTTCAAAAGGGTCCCCAAATTAACTTTTCAAGGAAAAGGAGTCACAAATTAAATTAGTTCTCCATATATAATTCCAATAGATAAGGCCAGAAGGCATCCGCATCAACCTTAATTTTCTATTAAACAAATACATCATAACATCAATTTGCAACATCATAACGCTAATCGAAGCGACTTGATACCTCTTTGGAAAGTTCAGAACATACTTATCAGAACGGGGTTGCAGAGTCGGCGTCTTTCACTAATGTTATTTTCACTGGAGACAGGGCCGTCTCTAGAAATATGGAGGCCCTAGACAAGTTTTTTCTATTTGAATTTTACATTTTTCTCTTCGAATTTTTCATTTTGCCTTTGCGTAGTAATTAAGGTTATTTGCAAATCGAATCATAAAAAGAACTTAATTAAACCATACTATTAAATGATTAATAAATATTGAAATAAATAAAAAAAAAATTCTAGATTTTGGAACTGATAAATTACCTTTGGGTTACAAAGATCTTTAATAGATTATATTCCCGCAATCACAAGAACACATGAAGAAGAAAAAAAATTCATATCACTGCAAATAATATTTATTTTCGCACAATTTGTTCTAACCGGACATTATAACATAACAAATGAAATATTTAGGGTTTCAAACTCATTAGCTATTTCATTTGTGTAATAGGTCATGTCTATATTTAGTCATTAGCTCATTTATTTGTATAAATAGGCATAGCCTAACACAAATACATAATATTAAAAAAAAAATTGAGGCCTCAAATAAATGGAGGCCCTAGGCATGGGTCTAGCTTGCCTCCCCAAGGAGCCGACTCTGACTGGAGAGTCTCACTTCGCTCTCCTCTTCTTTTAGTCGAGCATATGTTATGCAGTTTTTCTATAGAACCATCGGATGACTCGGTTTATCATGCATAGTTATTCACAAATGGTGTATTGACACTTGTCCTATAATAAATACACGTGTCAATACATAAAGTTATGGACGACTCTGTAAGGGAACCATCCGATGACTCCATAAAATTTCTGATAAGTTATATACGTTTCCCAACTCTTCTGTCTCGATGTGACCTACGCCGGCTTTGGATTTTCAATTAAGATTGTGAGGTTGAATGTTAAGTGCCAAAGAACGTTAGATGCATGAAAACTGCAGCCCCCACAAAAGCTGGTCTTCATTTTTTCTATTATTACTACTTTATGTTCTGTTTGGCATTTTTTTTTTATTATTAATATTATTGTCCTTCCTAATTTTGTTTCTTTTCCGTACTATAATTTGATTTAGAAAACTAATTGGTTTAATTTATCTTCATTTTTCTATTATTAGTTATTGTATGTTTTGTTAACATTTTTTTTTTTTTTTGCCTTCCTAATTCTGTTTCTTTTCCGTATTGTTTAATTTAATTTAGAAAACTTGGTCTAATGTCACACGGTCTAAATAAAATATTCCCAATGACTGGAATTAATTACTGCGTGCTTAAAAAAAATTCAATCTCCTAAACTTTGGAAGAATTTTATATTTTTTTTCTTTGTAGTAGTGCCTGTAAAATTTACATAAACATTATAATAAGTCAGTATCACCTAAATGTTAGAAAACTATTTGCAACTATCCTCTAAACGATTTATTTATTCAACTGTCAATAAACAAAAAAAAAAAGTAGTAATAATAATAATAATAAATCACACAAAAATTGCATATTCCAACGAGAATTCTCATAACAATAAGTTGTTGAAAATAAAATAATCATGTGCACACATGCACAAGTTACCAAAAATAAATAAATATTATATATGAAAACTTTTTTTAGAAACGATAGAGATTTTATATAACAAAAACGCACAAAAATGTAAATATACAACCCTAACTGAATTAAACAACCAACAGCTGAATAAACTTGGAGGACATGTCATATGACAGTCTAAATCTGACACTAGCAACACAGGAAATTAAAGACACGACTCACAACAACACAAACACAACAAACACCAAACACCCATATAGCTCCCCACGGGAGAATATGATCAATCCCCAAGGGATAACTCATAATATTTATCTTCTGATATTAATTATAAAGTGCATTAAATGTTAAAAAACTTTGATAAATAAATTTAATTTTCAGTAACTTAATCCTTATGCAACACACAATTTTTTATGGTTAAATACTGTAATTTTAGGTT